AGGAAAACCTCAGTGAAAACCACAAAAAGCTTCTCAGCGGAGCAGACGCCGCTTCAGCCTGTGTTCTTGGAGATGGAGGAGGAGGATGTGAGGAAAGCCACAGCTTCCCCAGCCGCGGGGCAGCCCCGCCAGCAAAGCCCCAGCGGCAGCCTCGGGGGTCAGCCCAGGATGGTGGTTCTCCCGTGGAAATCCTGACGGCTCCAGCCCCCATGTTTGTTGTCAGTGGCAGCAGTAGGAGGAGGTGTGAGGAGGAGGAGGTGCGACTCCACTGCTTTTTAAGAAAATAATAAAAAAGAGCCTTTCCAACCCGCCTGAGAGACAGACAGCAGGAGAGCACTGGTTTGAGCGCTGACTTGCACTTTACTCCTCCATCGCTGTCTGCCCACAACACACTGGCAGCAATTTCAGCGCTGGACAGGAACCCCAGGTGAGGATCAGCCTGGCAGGACGGTGCCCTCCATCCTGATGAAGGATGACAGATGTGGCTGAGCTGGGCACCCGGTCGGGGGCTCACAAATAACCCTGGTCACCCAGGAGGTGACCACCACTGCTGTGGCACACCAGGGCCCCGCCAATTCCTGCACCAAGCCATGACCCACCCGGCGGGGATGGCAGGGTGTGGGGTCTGCTGCTCCATGAACGCAGAGCAGGGGACAGGGACGATGTCCAGCAGCAGGAAGCCACCAAATCCAAAGCTCCAGCGCAGGGAGGGGTCACGCTCGGGGACCGGCGATGCTGCGGGGCTGAGCGGGACGCGGGTCCAGCCCCACGGCCGAGCCCGCCGGCCGCGCCCGGCCCCGGCCGGGGATGGCAGCCTTGGCCCCGGGTCGGGCCGCTGGGCTCGGCCGCCCCCGCCGCCCCGCGGGCTCCGCGGCGGAGCCGAGCAGCCGGAGCAGCGGCGGGGCCGTGCCGGGGCTGCGGGCCCAGCGCTCGGCTCCGGAGCGGCGGCCGGGCGGCTGCAACAGGCGCGGCCCCGGCTCCGACCCCGGCGCTCCGCCCGGGCCCCGCTAGAGGCCGAGGCGGCGGCGCCCCCGCTCTCCCCAGCCCCGGCGGGGCCCGCGCGGCTCCGGGCCCGACCCGCGC